ATGAAACTATTGACAAAGTAAAAGCCTTAAACTTAATTCTGTCTCCAATGTTCATTGAAGCCATTAGCTGTCTGCCAAGTTGGGCAAAGGGAGGCACAATAAGGACAGAACACCTTGTATGAACTTAAGTGTTAGCAGTGACAGGAAATGAACCTTATCCACCAGTTCACAGTTCTCCATGCTCTGAGTTTTATAGTAAATGTTTTACTGTGAGTTTTGTAGAGGGATTTTCTCCTTTCTGATAGTTCTTACAACACAGAGAGTCATGTCTCGATTGATGATTTTAATGAGTACATATTGTAAATACATTTCTATAAGAAAACTTTTTTTCAGAAACTCATGAGATAAGATCAAAGAAAAAAGTTGTTTCACAACAAATATGATGAATTTTACTGCTGTCACTTCTTTGCTGGACACAAATGAAAAAAAAAATAAAAAATACACATGATGCAAAAGGCAGCTGTTGTTGTCTGTTTACCTGCTGGAATTTAGTTTAAATCAAGGTTAATGATATTCAGCATCTTCATAAGAAATTCAGGCTTTATATTGAAATACATGAATCCAGCATGTGCTTTAAATCTGCCGAAAGCATTCAGAGCTGAAAATAAGTTAAATGAAGCCTCATAAAAATCTGTATACAGGCTACATCCAGAGTAAAATATTGTATGTTTTCTCTGAGCTCACAGTTAAGCTGATGATGCTCAGGTGCAGTAAATTCATGCGACACACACACAGGAAAACATTAGTGTGCAGTAATTGTTTGACAATCATGTAAGCTTGTACTTTAAAGATATATTTGGTTTAGAAAAACGATCTAATAAGGGAAAAAGTGAAGGGCCAGAGGGAGAACATATCTACAGTGGGTTTAAAATCTCTGCAAGTTGTATTTGGTGGAATCAGTGAAAGATCATAAAACACATTCCCACAAATACTTTAAAGAGAAGATTGTGTGTGGTTTGATTTGCATTGGATCTGGTCTCCTTTCTTGCTCTGTAGATTTGAGACAAGAAAGACAAAGAAACAATGATGTAACTCACAGCAGAGGAAACAGTTCAGAATTAAAGATGAAACAAACTTACCTCTGCTAGCCGACGAGCCACAGTGTTTACTATGAAACCTATCACGACCATCACAGCAGCAAATATTATAACTGCTATGAGTGCAATTGTCATATAAAACTGAATATTCTCCAGTTTGCTTCCTGCAACAACAAAAAATAAACAGGTGAACTTAAAAAAAAGGGTTTTGAGCAAAAACATAATTATCTAGCTATGAAGTCTAGCAGAAACTTTAGCACCTCTTTATGTCATAAATTCATAGACTTTACAAAAGTGTTTGAAAGAAACACTTTTGCGTTGCATCGAGAAATGATCTGGAGAATAACCAGGTCCTACAGCATCCTGGAGATGTTTGTTTACCCACCTAAGAAACATCTGCCATGAGTCTAGTCACTGCGTCTGTACTAATAGTGGGATTTCAGACTCGTTCGAGATCAAGACGGGAGTGTGACAAGGCTGCGTTATTTTGCCATTCCTGTTTGTACTGGTTGTGGATTTCATCATGCAGCGTACACTGCGGGATGGCAAGCATAGAGTCCAAGGACATGACGGACGACAAATTGCAGATCTTGATTTTGCGGATGACATTGCGCTGGTTGGATCTACTCAACGCTCCATTTGTGACCGCCATGCTAGAAAATGAAGCGTCAAAGATAGGACTGCGGATCAGTGCTGCCAAAAGCAAAGTCATGTGGATCAGTTATGCCAGAGCGAACACTCTGATACTCATTGGCCACCACCTGCTTGATGAAGCTATCAGTTCACATATCTGCACAGTGTGATATAACCGGACGGTGGCTGCCCACATAACAATTAAAGAAAGGATTTGTTGCCCGGACGTTGAACTGTGTGCTGTTGGACTATATATATATGTTAGAGGTGGGAATCACCATACATCCCACGATACGATATTATTGCAATTTTTTAAAATATTTTGATTCTGTACGTAAAGGTAAACTTTGTCAATATTCATTTTATCTAATATCAAAGTCTCACACTCAGTCTTTCTCTCATTTCAGTCAGTT